AAATGGGTCATCACTCTCAACATCATGAAAATGATTTTGAACTCTAGCAAATTTAAAAAGTGAGGATTGAGTGGCTCCAGCCCAGATATGGCAACAATTCACTGTTTGGTCTAATCTGACTCTTGTAAATGTAAAGCATGGCAGGAGTCATCATACTTTTCTGGAGTGCAGTAATAAACTGATCCTTTCTCCAGTATCTTTGGCAATAGATTGGATATAAGAATTTCACTTGAGAGCTGGAGTGAACTCTTATGCAAAGTGTGACATACTGTTGGTTATTTGTATAGATCTCTCCTTATTTGATATAGAACGCTGACAGCACAAGAAATGGAATCAACAGACCAAGTTTAAACTCCAGCTAGGACAGTTTAAATTCATTTTGCACTTCTCCCCCCCAATCTATGGGTAAATAGGACAGATCACTTTAGCCTTTAATTTAGTCCATATTGGGCTTCAGGCTGGCAACCTGGTCCTTTAAAAATTCACTTACTACTGCAGAAAGTCACCTGGTGTAGTTGTGTCCCTCATTTTTAATTTTTAATATTTTTTACTATCTGTTTACCCAATACAAGGGACAAGAATCACTCAAGGTAGAGGTTTACTGAATGAGGTTGTTGTATGAGTGTAAGGAGTAGGTAAGAAGTGTAGATTATGTGTGTATATAGGAAAGATAACATGAAATATAGAATGCTCCACAAGGAGTCTGCAGAAATTTGAAATAAAAATAAAATTTAAAAAACTTTGCTAATGTAAGCTTTACAAAAATTTCACCTTTTGTAAAATTCTTTCTTCATTACAGATAAGTGAAAAATGTCAGAAGGATGCAACTAGTCTTCAAGCAAATTATTGTTTGTGACTTTTTAACATGAGATGGTGTTAAAATCTTTAAAATTTCTATAAATTATCATTTCCTTTCAAATACTAAAGGTTGGTAATCTCGAGTAAGCAACTTGTGCTTGATATCAGTTGGTCTTTTCCTGTAATCTCAAGTATGTCATTATGTATACTGGTTGTGTAGTATCTGCTGTTGGACTTAAAATGTAGAACGGTGACGTCATTAGTAGCAGTAGCTGTTGAACAGTGGTTAGCAAGCCACTCTCACAAATCATTACTAGTGAGATTGATCCTTATTGGATACTTAACAACTGTAACCTCCTAGCTAAGCTGAATAAATATATGGAGGGTTAAATTGCATAATGTTGAAAGATATCCCAGATGCTCTCAAGACCTGTTTTGTAGGTTAAAGGGAAAAAAAAAAATAGATTCCATCTTCTAAAATGCCTTCAAGACAAAAAAAAATTCTCCCCCTAGAAAGAATTTTTTTTTTTTTTTTGTAGTAAAGTTCGCTCTGTATGAAATTCCAATGTATATCACCTGAAGAAGGCCAGAGCATACATCGGTTGAAATGTTGTGAATATGGCAATAAAGATGAGGATAACAATCCAAAGTAAATAGTGTGAATAATTAAACCTTGTTATTATCTTAATCCCACTCTGCTGATCTTGCTAGTTAATACTCTCAGTATTCTGACCAGCCTGTTTATTTTTGAAATATCAATAAATAAATGATTTAAAGTTTCTAAGTTAAATCTTGACTGGCCTTTTAATGTACATTACATTCTATGCTTCTCTTCTTCAACCTGAAACCTCCTTGCTCGTTAATGTAGCTGTGGTTTGATTAGCAAGTAGGAAGTCTTATTTTATATTTAAAAAAAATTCTTTTGCTAGTTTCATGCCCAATCAAGCAGATGTCAATATCCAGACCAATTGAAGCCTGTGTCACATGTATTAGCTCTATAAAGATTGTGCTTGCTACTGTTACCCATTGCCTTTAAAGTGAATTTTGGTTCAGTTCATGAACTTTTAACAGTCTTGCTCATTTCAATGTATTGCATGAACTTAGACTTGCATGGCTTAAGCTTTGAGACAAATATTAAATTCAGAATTGTCCTTCTAGATTGGTTACCAATCAAGGATAAAGAGTTTAGTTTGCTTTGCTATTTAATCTATAGTTGGGGGGTGATATGCTTTTCCCAAAGCATTAGTGCAACAATGAATGCAACAAATTTGGCTAGAATTTGAAAATTGCTTGCTGATTCCACTTTCTGTGCTAATAGCCACTAGGCTACCTGCATATTACATTAATGAAAATTTCTCTTGCAATTAATGTTAATATATACAAAAAATTGTATTGCATTAAACCATCAATTGCAATAGGAATTTCTGTCATTTACAGTTAAGCCATAGAATTGCAATGATGGAAATGCTTGTCTTTCACAGTTAATGGATTAATTAAAATTAAAAAATAATTATTTACAAAGAAATGTTTTAAAAATGACTGAACAGAAAAGTTAGGCTATTCAGTTTAATGTTTTATTCTTTACTTTTTACAAACATTTTTTTTTTCTTTCAAACTTTTTTTTAACCATAAAGGTTAACACGAACAGGAAGTCTATTGGCCCCACTGATTCTTCTGTATTTTGTTCTAGCATAGGTTGAAATTCTTGAACTGTTCTTGCTCAAACTGCTTTATATCATTACTGTTGTTCATGGCTCTCTGTGAGAATGAAAACAGGTGTCTTTCTTATGATACTTGATTAAAGTTTTACCATATCTTCTGAAAGATCTAATATTCTTTTTCTATAATCAATGCCTGTAAATGTGTTCAAAACCTTGGTTGTTTCAATCAAATCACCTCAATTTCTTTTTATTTTCCCCAGATAAGATGTTACACAAATCCAGTTTCTGAATTCATAGATTCAGTTTCAATTCTGAACCAAGAGTATATCAAATCAATAAGTTATAAGTGAAACATGAAATGTTTTGTTCATATTTTCAACCCCTTTTCTTATTCACTTCTAAAATTTAAGTCACAAATTTAGACAGTAACACTTGATTGTCTCATAATGATTTATTACTGTCACAGTATCATAATCACTGTTAGAAAATTCATTCATTACGCTCAATGGAACCTTCCACCTAAGATGGTTTAATTCAGTCAGTATATATGGAAAACTCTAATAAACTATAAATATATATTTTATAAATGAATAAAAGCATTCACTATCTAATATATATACACTTAGAGGCGACAGTCTGTTTCCTACTGATGAACGTGTCAAGCGTGAAACAGACTGTCGCCTCTAAGTGTTGACTTCTATGTTCACTTTTATATTTACATGCTCTATCTCTGATATTGAGCACTTTATCCCATAAATATAGCACATCTTAAGACTATATTTCTTTATATTATATATATATATATATATATATATATATATATATATATATATTTTACCCAAAATTCAAGATACATTTCAGCCTTAGTTTTGGCTTCAGTATATGAATAGAAATTTTAGTTGCTCTACAAATTCTACTAATACCATATTCTACTAATTTTTTGTCAACTGATTTTGCTGAGTTTTGTTTTGATTTTTACAGATTTCTAGTTTGTATGTGTATCCCTGTTCTTGATTTTGTTAAATGAGTTATAAACAAGTGTGCTTATACAGTAAACATTTACAATAGTAAATAAGCTTTTTCATATTCTTAATACTTGGTGAAATGTGATTAATACCTTAGAATTCAATAAAAATAGTTATCATTTAAATAGCTTTTCTGTTGAAAAGCAAAATTAAATCCAATGTTGTTTTTATCTGGGTTATGAAAATTAATTAGTTCAGTTAAAATGTTAATTAAGCATTCTAAGCGATAAAATTATTAAGAATAAATATTTGTCTTTGGAAAGGTGATATTTATTGGCTTAAAATGTGCATTTACACATTGATACTGGTAAATTTTTTCCAAAGTAATTTCTTGTTATGATTAAGTAACAATCCTGTCTCATCTGTGTTGATTCTACTTTTGTTAATCTTACAAATCACCTTTAATAAATTTTGGTGGCAGTTTCACTTTGCTTTACAAAATTCTTAGAAATTTTTGCTTTTATTGTTTTCTTTGTTCATGCTATGCCTTTTAGAAAAATGCATTTTATAGCATCAAATTGATTTTAAAATTAAAAAAAGAAAATGAAGATACTGGCTTTCTGTTTGTTGCTTGTGATGCTACTCAATTGGGCATGTGATTCTATTACTTGAATTTCATGGCTGACAAAATTAAAAGGGGAAACACATTAACATATGACAAACCAACATTGAAAATAATAATCTGCTCTAAAATATAAAAATATCTCTTATTTTTTATCTCTCTTGTTTTCTCTCTCTCTCTCTCTCTCTCTCTTTCTCTTCCTTATTTTTGTAAATATTATCATGTACAAATTCTGTTAGCGTCATTCAGGAGTCAAAGAAAGGTTTGTAATTTCATTGATCTTGACCTGGCATCTCTACTTCAGTTAGTTTCCCACCAACATGATTTGACTTCTGTCTTTTTTATAAATATTTTCAAGGTACGTATTCTGATGAGCATTCCTCTTTGTGGAATTTAAGTGTATTACTAGAGTGGCAATTAAGTTTCATGGTTTTACTGTTGAACTAGCTAGATGTAACTATGTTTTATTATAATAGCCAAAAACATATTTGAGATAAAGAATTACATTATTTCATGTATTGACATATAGTTTGATGCTTTGTAGAAATTAGAATCATAAACCTGTTTTGCTTTAAATGCAACTAGTGGGCAAAAAATAAAGTTGTAGTAAAATCCATGACACCAGTGCACTATACTAATTAAACTTGTGTGGCAGATACATATGCTAGACTTATGGAGAATATTTTGACAGTCATTTTTATGAGTTTAAAGTAATAAAATATTGGCATGTTATAAAACACAATGACATTGCTAAAACTCAGGTAGGGAATCTTGTACTTTAAATTTGAACAAGAATATTTTCAAGTGTGTAAAATCCATCATCAAATCCTTGTTTATGAAACATTTTATAGAAATATTCTGTCTTAGATTATTCTTGAATTTATTGCTTTTATTTTAGATATTTCATAATGTTTACTGTCTGTCACTTTCTCCGGGATATCCTTAATGATTGCCATGTGCTGCTTTCTTAGAGATATTCTCGGTAATGATTATTGTGTGGCTTTCAGTAATGATTATTGTGTGGCTTTCAGTAATGATTACTGCTTGCCACTTCCTTAGGAATATCATCTGCAATGATCAACGCTTGCTGCTTTCTCAGGAATATCCTTTGGTAAAGATTGCCACTTTCTCAGATATCTGCAGTAATAATAATTGCTCTTACTTTGTATATATTGCAAAATAATGTATTGAAAAGTAAATTTGAATTTTTTTTTTTCCCTTTTCCCCCCAAATAAACTTGTATAAAAAATATTCAGCTTTCTAAAAGGTTAAGATAAGTAATACACACCTGGTAGAAGCTACAGGGTGCATCAACTAAAATGTTATAATAATTAAAGAATTCTGAAGATGCTGATCCAAAGACGTTACTGCTTGAAAAGGGGGATTTTGCTTATTTCAACCTTGTGCTTTAGAAGAAGAAAAATTTAAAGAACTGTGAAAATAGAAATAACAAGTTTTAAACAAATGCAGCTAAATCAAGCAGCATAAGAAAAGCCGTTTTTTCCTATTTCTCTCTTTTCTTTCTCTCTTTTGTTGCTCTCTCGCTCTCTTCTGTCTCTGCTCTCTCTCTTCTGTCTCTGCTCTCTCTCTTCACTCTCGCGCTCCTCTCTATCTATCTTCTCCACTCTCTCGCGCTCCTCTCGCTCCATCTTCTCCACTCTCTCTCGCTCCATCTTCTCCACTCTCTCTCGCTCCATCTTCTCCACTCTCTCGCGCTCCATCTTCTCCACTCTCTCGCGCTCCATCTTCTCCACTCTCTCGCGCTCCATCTTCTCCACTCTCTCACGCTCCATCTTCTCCACTCTCTCTCTCTCTCGCTCCATCTTCTCCTCTCTCTCTCTCGCTCCATCTTCTCCACTCTCTCTCTCTCGCGCTCCATCTTCTCCACTCTCTCTCTCTCGCGCTCCATCTTCTCCACTCTCTCTCTCTCGCTCCATCTTCTCCACTCTCTCTCTCTCGCGCTCCATCTTTCCACTCTCTCTCTCTCGCTCCATCTTCTCCCTCTCTCTCTCTCGCGCTCCTTCTTCTCCACTCTCTCTCTCTCGCGCCTTCTTCTCCACTCTCTCTCTCTCGCTCCATCTTTTCTCTCTCTCCTTTCTTTGTAAATTTATACTGTTGTATTCAATGAGTTAAATGATTAAAACTCCTTGCTGATTTAGCAACCCAGATGCAGTTCATCAAATTTACTTACACATGTCTACTCAGAAAACATATTAGTTGATCTCATTATGTATGCTTTGAAAATACCACTTATATAAACGATTTTACTATGAGTACTTTATTATCTGTTAAATTATCAGCATGAAAAGATTGGCAGCCTGATATAAACTCTTGCTTTTGTGATGAGACTACATTAAAATGCTAAAGTAAAAAACATAGAGAAAATAAAAACCCTATTTAAGAGACAAGAATTTTGTAATTTTGTATTGTCATGACATAGTGAATATTGAAGTTGTTACAGTTATTGAGTGGTAGTAAGTTTAATCCCTGGGTCAGATAGTGAAATGCTGTTTCAGAAATAATGAACAATAACTAGCATCACAAGGGCAAAATAACACATTAACTAAACTCCTCAATATACCAGTCTCCCATATCAGCAAAAACAACAGATACCTAATGATGACCAGAGCATACTTGTCTGAAATGTTCTGTCGATAATAACATCTATAACAACCAAGATGAGAACAATAAATAAATGAAATAAGTAATTATGGCATTAAGAATTCAGTAATTTAATATTTTTTTTTTTAATTGAGAGAAATTTATATTGTACTAAATTTTTGTTTCTTTTTATGCTTCAATTTCTATAACTTGCATCTTAGAACTGATTGGCACTTGACTGAGTGGTTGATGTTAATATTCCGACCATGTGACCCAGGTTTGAATCTCACTATTATTGATTTGTGAAGGAGGTGATCTTGAAAATATTGACCTAGGGAGACTATTCAAGTGTATGGTACCATTTGTAGTAACTGAAAACCATACTATGGATTGATACAAGCCTCGTTAGTGAAATTGGGTACACAAAACTGTTTAGAAACTATTGATGGTTGTGCTAGTATGAAGTCACAAGTTTTTACCTAATAGACAGATAGAAACTCTTGTCTTGGTTGGCAATCCATATGGAGGTGGTGTTTCAATAAAAGTACCGATCTGACCACTTGCAGGAATGTATAGGTTTAACAATCTCATGATGATTAAAATTCTTGAAGAGGTCCTGTGAGTTCACAATCTGCCACAGATAGAAATAGCACATAATGATCCTATAACTATATATTTTTTTTTAACTAAATAGCTAATATATTAAGACTTACTATCATTTTTTTCTCCCAAATTTCTATAAAAATTAAAAAAATAAAATTTTATACATTTGTTGAATTACTTTTTGATGATAATTTGTTGTTTTTAGGTGATTCTAGAAAGATTAATCCTTGATCTTAATTATTAAGTCTTGATATAAAGGCTCCACATAGCCAATGCTCTTCTAAATGTCAAGTGGAACATGTCTCGAAGATCAGCAGCCCACACAGTCCTGATTGATAGGATGTCATGCCATGTGAAGGACCTTCACCCTTTTGTGGATTCTAGCACATTGGTGAGTTACATCAGCAGGTTGTCCTCAGAAAGTGCAAGTGTGTTCAAGATTGAATAGAGTGAGTCTTCAGGAGATGACTCGCTTAACACAGTGACTGCCCCCAGTATAAAGAAGCCCTAGCCTTGAGACCTGCTCCAGCCTGTCATATTTATGATCATTAGATCAGGGAAATTTACCAGCTTATTTTATCAAACAAAATATCCATGTTTAATAAATAAACTGACTGATCATCTACTCAAATATGAGTATCCACTAAAAATAATGTTTAAAGTGATAGAATCTGTCAGATTAATAAATAAAAATCTGTTACTTTTTTTAGGAAATTGCTTTTTTATGTTTGGATAGAAAACTGAGCAGATATGAAAAATTTTGAGAAGTCTATGGCAAGAGGAATTTCACTTAAAGAGTCATTCCAGCTTTGCCTGATTGATCAAGTTCTCAGTCTATCAGATCTAATGATATTCCCTCTCTCCAGGGGTATGCAGGTTTGTATCCTACTGGAAATTGCATATATATATATATATATATATATATATAAGCTCTTGCTTTTAAGAGGTTGGCAGTGTTATATTTGCATGATTTTGTAGCTGTTTCTACTGATGTGTGATTTTTCTGTTTCTGTATCGTTTTTGAAGCTTTCCTGTTTTTGGACTTTCAAATTATTTAGATCAACTAATACAAGAAAATGTTATAAACAACTGTTAAAAAAAAAAATTACAGTATCGGCTCACTTAGACATTATTACCAGGTTTGATTATAAATACCTATCGATGATGATATCTACATATTTCATATAAAAATGTTATGTTTACTTTTTAGATTTTTAAAGGAATTATTTGAAGATAGGATTCTTTTCTACTATGTACTTTTTACAGTTTTTAAGGAATTATTTTATAAGTTTATGTATCAAGATTTTGCATGAAAAAAGGATCCTCATTCAGCACTTTTGAAAGTTTAAATAACCTATATACTAACTGAATTCTTTTTTTTTTTTCTGTCTTTAGGAGCTACAAGCCAGAGTATTGAATTTGACGTTTACACGACTAATATTATAAGATGATTAGATATTGGACTGGTCAGCGTTATTATAAAGAGAACAAAGATTAGAAATATTCATTTGCTATTGAACTCTTGCTAGTTTTGTATTAAGCTAGAAGAGAATCAATATTGTTCTATTCCTGTTATCATTTTTATCTGCATTCTCATATTAGATGATGTTTGCTTTTTATTTTTTCCATATTTTTATGTGATTTGGTTGCTTGCTTACATTGATGTGTAGAAATGGAAAAATTGAGGAAAAAGTAATCGTAGTCACATTTATTTTTCATCTTTTAGTTTGAATTATAAACCAATTTGGGAGAATTTTCATTTTGTTTTGAAATGATCTAAATCCTTCATACTTGAACCAAGAAACCTTTATGCAACCATCAAATGTCAGTTTTTGATCATGTGGATCATAAGATATCTAACTTATCTCTGTTCCAATATTCATCTTGGTTGCTTTTTTGAGAGAAAAAGTGCTATGTAGTCTAAAATTATTGTCTCTATTTTGATTTATAAATATTGTTTTAATTTTCATTGACCTGTTATAAGAGTGTTACTACTCAGTACTAATAGTTGTTTCAAATAGTTTAAATTTCTAGTATATAAAGATTTTATATATTCCACATATCAACTTTGTATTTGATCACCATATTAATTTATCATTATTTATTTATTTTATTAACTACAATTGTTTAAAAACGAATCATTTTCCTTCTTTTTTTTTTTATCCAAAGTTTGAAATTTCAGGTTTAGCAATAAAAATTGTATAACATGATTGAAATTTCTTTTTCATCTTGTTAATGTTTATAGCTTAATACATATTGTTTCACAAAAAATATTGTTTTAACTAAAACACGAAAGCATCACTAAAACAGGTAATTCTTGTTAATCCTAAAAAAACAAAAAAATTTGGAATTATTTCAATGAATTCAGGTTAATTTTCAGCCATAAAAATGTTTTCGAAAGCAGGCATATCAAACTGAGGGTCCTCTGAGGGCCACATGGTCACATATGACTTGTCATGAGGGCAACATACGACAACCAATTGATAGTGTTGCTGCCAAATTACAAATAAAACTAGAAAATTTGCATCCAGATTTATCATTTACACATATTCACTGTATTATTCATCAGCAAAATTTGTGTTCAAAGATTTTAAAATTGGATCATGTACTTAGTTTGGTCACAAAGACAGTAAACTAAGATTTCCCACTCATGGCTATCATTGATCTGAGTTCATAGCTTGTAATAATGGAAGGGACATTCTGTTTCTGAATTTTTGTAAAAAAAAAAAAAAAAATGATGCCTGTTTTGGCATCAAGTTAGCCTTCAATTCCTTGAGTTTTGAAATGCGCATTCGGCCTTCATCTTTATCATAAGATAGATACATGGTTTGTTTCATAATGTCTTTTCAGTTTTTTCCCCTTCAGCATGCTGATAGAGTTGTTGCAAATTAAACTATGTATCTTTTCATTCACCATTGTTCAAAAATACCATAATTCCAACTTTTCTTGAAACACTCACCCTTCTTTGTTCAATTTCCTTTTTCTCTAAGCTGGAGAAACATTAGCCATTTTAGGGTTGAACTAATTGGAAAAATACTAATTTTCAAAACTGATGATGCAGAATCTGAAAAATTACTGGTACATTTACAATATGGCTAACAATTAAGAGATAAAGAAATTCTGATAAGACTTCAAAAACTTTTTTTGGCTGACATTTCACCTTTAAATGCAAAAGCTTCTGAAAGTTTGAAAAACTTTTCTGTTTACAACTGTTAATGAGCTACCATATTGTTTTCATGGTGTGATAGTTGGTGGCATGTCTACTAGAAAGAATTTGTTCCTGTACTATTTTCTCAGTCACCAAGAATATTGAATATTTGCTACAATTTTTTAAATAATAGCTTAGTATGGTACTAACTTAAAGATTGTTGATAATGTTAAAATTATTTTAAATAAATTTATGCAGAAAATGCTATTCATATTTGGTATTCTATTAAAATAAATAAAAATGTAAAAATTATATGACTTATTTTCTTACATACTGTAATTTCTGAAGTATATAAACTACAAATTTTGCCGTTAAATAACCAAATTAGTATAGTTTGTGTAAGCTACAGTTATGCATTTAAAGAGCAGAATGCAGCCCGCAGGCCACATGTTTGACATACATGTTCTAGACAGGACGTGGCACACTGATTATGAAAAGCTTAAAACAAGTCATGGAAGTTTATTTTTAGCTTTTTATCACTTTTGTCTTCATTTTTATCTTTATTGTGCTTGTAAAGGACCTCATGCAGCATATGAGCTGCATGTTTGACATGTCTGCTCGAAAGCATTTCACTGGTAATAAAGAAAAAGTATTACCTCTGTCCAGGGCCAGATTTAGACCTTAAGCAGCCTATGGGCTAATAAAATTTGGAGCGTCCTTCATTGTGTATGTTCAAACCCCACCACCATCCCA